CCTACCGTGCCAATTTTAGAGAATTACACTAATTTTTTCATGTTTTTAAGCCAAACTTGTTCTTTTTCTGCTAAAACTTGCTTATGACAGGGTAAAAGCTATTTGAAGAGTGTTGTCAGTTACACATTTCAAGTTAAGTTTTTCCTGTTTATTCAGCTATTTGTTGCCTAAGAATTTACACGATAGACTCATTGGCTTTAAATAACATCAGTTTATTATTTGTAGCAATTCTTTGTATTGCTTGGTTTCAGATGTATGGCTTTCTTTTTCATGAGTCCATTCATGTAATTGTGTTTACCTGTGAGTTCTACTAATGAGGGAATGTCACCATGACCTCTCATCCTCTGGGATTTCTCTTAATGCTGCCACTAATCTTTTAGTGACAGTTTCATCTACCTGAAGACAGCTCCCTTTTACAGAACTTTTCACATTATAACTGGTAGGAACTGAAAGCAAATCATGTAGCCAAGTCCAGAGGCAATGTAAAAGGCATCGAGGTCCCCTGAAGTAGTTGACTTGTCACGTTTCCCTAATCAATGTCAGTAGACAACAAAAGCAGTGAAATTGGATTGTAAGGAAAAGTAAGAGTCAGTATAACTTGAACCAAATAATATTTTGTTTACATGACTTGATGAAATTAAGTGGGAGTGATGAAGCATACCTGTAATTTCAACACCAGGGAGGCTGAGGCAGGAAGATTGCTGCAAGTTTGAGACCAGCCTAGGCTACATAATGAGTTCAAGGGCAGCCTGACTTTGAGAAAATAAACAACAAAATAAGAATAATTTCACACAATGAATGACCTTGATTTTATTTAGTTGGGACTGAGGAGTACTATTAGGAAACTGAGGGAGAAATACAGTACTAAAACTGAAGCAAATGTCTACATCCTGTTGGCCTTTTTAAAAGGTAATAAATCTCCATAAAAGAATATATTTAATGTTTTTTTTATGTGGGGATGTCTGTTAGAGATTGAACTCAAGGCCTCATACCTGCTGTTAACCTGGAAGTTTCCTTACTGCCTCCCATCCTGCACATGTTCATTTGGAAAATCCACTGGCTCCTGATGACCCTTGTATACACACAAAGTAAGTCCTGCTAAAATTACCGAATGTGCCATCATAAGCATTACAGTTATAAAGTTTATTGTACCACTTAACCTCTACATGAAATGAAATGTTCAAATGAGTAAGAAGCTTTTATCAAATGTAAGTAAAATTTCTTTTCTCAGATCATACAGGGTCCATGATCCACTTCGGTCCTTCTTTGAGGGGCTAACACCCACCTAAGACTGTAGCCAAATCACACAGGCACACAGGACTAGGAGAGAAAGTAGTGATCTTGTGATAAATTGAACACAAACAGACATATTGATAACATATGCAGAGGAGAAAAGAGAATTAGCTGTGGGTGAGCTATCCTCCAGAAATACTTTTACCTCAGAGACATTGTTTTCTTCTTATAAGTCCATTACTTAAAGTTCTAAAAATTAAAATTTTATTTCAGATAACCATAATATTGTTATAGCTTATGAATTTTAATTGATTCCTATATGTACCTTTGAGCAGACTTCAGAAAAGGACTGCCAAATTTCTTTATTACCACTTTTCTCAAATGCTTCTCTCATTATCTTCCTTAAAATTTCTCTCAAAAACATTGTAATTAAACTAATTGTGAGCACCCATGTGCAGCTTATGGGAGTGACAGTTGTGGCAAGAGCGCCTTGTATGATGCTTTAGCCTCGTGAGCAACGGTGCGGCAAAGCTGCCCATGCAGTCAGTCTTTGGTGAACAGCTGTGACCTGCACAATGACAGTGTCATGTGAACCAGAACATTGTGCAGTACCTTTGGTGTGAGAATGAATTTACAGCTACTTACAGAGAACAATTAATGTAACATTTTGCAAAATTAAACCAATATTTCAACCCTTGAGAAAATGTTAAAACAGAAATAAGGATGGAAAATGAAGGATACATGTGACAGCAAAAGCATGATGGAAAAGCGATGATGTCTCAAGCTGTGTAAAATTTGTCTGCTGGATGTAGATGGATCAACTCTGACAACAGACTGGAAGGTTTAGAAATCATACCAGGAAACAAATATGTCCTTAATGTCATTGTAATCATGGAATATTCCAAAGAAGACTGTGGAAGATAGCATGGATATTAAATGAAAATCACAACGATCCCATGTAATTAGGTTTTTCTAGTCTCTTATTTTAAAAACAGTGGAAGTAAGGAAGGAGGGGCATAAGAAATAGAGGAATAAAGGCATAAGAGAAATATGTCTGTAGCAATCCCAAGTGAAGATGGTATTTATTTTTCTGACACAAATAATATTTATTGTGATTAATCTAGCATTGTCAAATGACTGGAAAGATGCATTCAAGATTATTTTGTAATTATGCGATGCCAAAGAACTGTACCTTGATAATGGGTTTGTCTTGAAGCATTATCACATGCTAATTGGCTAAGAGGTTTTGTATCCTGAGTATGACTATCAGGCTTGCATTTTTAGCAACTTGTGACTTGTCAAAAAGATTTCATTTCCAAGTGGAGATCGTTTACAAGTGTAGTTAAGATAGTGGTAATTCATACTAAGAAAGTTTTATTCTTTATGTGATCTACAGTTAATATTGCTTCTAGAATTGTACCTTTCCTCTTTAGCTGTACAACTCTGAGCAGCAACCTCAAGATCCCACCTCCACTTGAAGCGTTTTTCTTGAGTCAGTGGAATAATATAGTGGTTTCCTTCTGTACATGTTGTGAATTTTACTTTTCATTTTAGCTTTGATAACTTAGGAAACCAACTTATTTCCCAGAATAATTCAGTGAATTCTTTTAGTCACCATACCTTTACTTGAACTTATTTAAACACCAACTTTGTTAAACACATCTCTGAAACAGAAGAAAGAAAATTACTAAGATATAGTCCATGACCTCTCTCTTTGTAGTGTCAAATAATTATGAGCAGAATATACATTATCATACCAAATTCTTCATTTTTCTTCATCAGCCTAAATTTAAACAAAGGCAAGCAGCATTTCTTAAATTGTCAAATTCAAAAATAGTCCTCACATAGTTAAATTTACAAGAGATTCTTGCATATTAGTCATTTTATTTTAGATGTGAATAACTACACTAGGCTTTGGTGAAATTTTCTGCCTAAAACCCTGGTATGGTAAGCATGAAGAAGACTTTACCATGTGCCAAGTTTCTGTATAAGATGTGAAGACTTAAAAATATGACTCCAACTTAATAATATTTATAAGAAGGAAATTCTGTATATTTAAGGAAAAGTTAATAAAGATAAAATATGCTGTATCTGTGAATTCATGGTGACATAATGACAAACTAGGAAGAAGAGAAGTAGGAGACTGCAGTGTGTTCCTGTTTCAGGTGCTCAAGTAAAACAGTCCAGCAATGAGATCTGTATTAGCTTTTCCTGTTGCTGAGACACAGTACCACTCACCCACAATTTACAAGAGGAAAGTTTTAATTTAGCTCATGGTTTCTGAAGATACAGTCTAGGGTCCATTGCTCCAAGGCAGGAATATTATGGCAAGAGGTTATGGTTGAGCAAAGCTCCTTAGTTCATAGTGGCCAGGAAGCAGAGCTGCACCAGCCAAGAAACAGACCAGAGACCAAATAGAGTACCCCAAATCACCCCTATATGACCCCCAGGCACACTAGAAGTGTGCTCCACCAATACCCAAAGCCAGTCAGATGTGCACTCCACACTAATTGTCCAGGATCCAAAAATGGAAAGAATTGGATTGAAAAGCAGAGCATGGAAATTCCACGGGTGCTATAGATTATCTCTCCAGATGATTGTAGTTGCTATGATAACCAAAATGTTCTTTTTAATAGACATTTTCCATATCGTGGTCATCCTTGCATGGGGAATGTACTAATAATAGATCATAGTAGAAATCTTTGTCCTTTCTGTAATGACCTTTGTGAAAGCTGTGTTATGCAATTTTTTTGCTTTCCCTGCCTTCTGTTGTCCAAATGAAGGTCAAGTTATCTCGGCAAGGGATTTGGATAAAAAGGAAGAATTACCATCTGCAGGAAGGGGTAAATCAAGGGGAGAGATTTTGCAAAAACAGACAAAGTTTACTAAGTTATACATGTGTGAATTAGTGTAGCATTAATCAGTTAGTGTTTTAATTTCAGAAAAGGCATTCATTATTTTAAGCTAGAATTATCAGTGTATGTCTAGCTCATTGGAAAATGTGTATGAATTTGAGGAAGGTGTAGATTATTTTTATCAATAAGATTCTATATATTCACTTTTTGATTTTAGTTTTGGTGACAAGTAAAGAACATAAAAATTGTGGGTTTTTAGTTTTTATTTTGAATTATTTTTATTAGTATATCTTTGTGGTGCATAATGATTACATGCATTGTGGCCAGATGGTACATGTACGTAATAGATCTTAATTCTTTTTACTTCCAATTCTCCTTCCCTCTCTCTCTCCTCCCTAAAACTTCACTTTAGTAGAGTGGCTAGGGAGTGCTATAGAAATCCCAGGGCAAACAGGAGAGCAGAGGCATGCAGCAGGTTCCAGGGATACCTTTCTCTCCCTGCTGCAGTGATCATGGCATGAGTTGGTGAACACGTGGGCAAGGGTGACAGTAAAAGAAGAATGTCACAAAAGTAGAAGCACGAGAACCTGGTTATTGGATACATAACAGTCATTAACATTTATGTAGTATTTATCTGGATGAATTATTTAATTTTATTTCAACCATTTAATTTCAACCATTATATGTAGTACAGGTACTAATATCATTGTAAGTTAAACTTGCAGGTTTAAAATAATTATCAGAAGCAAAACCAAAACCTTGGATCTCTCTGAACTGCTAAAGGACAGTGCCTTATCCACAGCTAAGTGTTAACATTTCTTATTTAGGTATCAATGACCATGAGGAGACAGGCTTAAAATTGAGTGTTGGTATTAGTATAATGCAAACTTTATTCTCTTTCTTTATTTTCAGTTCGACTTCATGACAGCATATCAGAAGAGGGGTTTCATTACTTGGTGTTTGATTTGTAAGTACCTTATGATCATTTATTTTTGTAATGTATATGAAGATCATTATTAATTAAACATGATTTTTCTCATTGTTCAGTTCAAAATAATAACTGTTATAATATTTTAAAAATATTCTTTGAGATAGTTCAACTTAAATTCTTCGGAGAAAGGATATATAATTAGCACAGTTTATTTAATATTCAACTTAGTCTTCATAGACAAAACAGGTGTGAGTCTGTTTTCCTTTCCATTGTCCATTGTGATTCATAAGCAGTTTTCAGTTTTACTTTGTGTACAAAAATGGATGACATAGCAAAATTCTCCTTTGAATTTTTTCATGAGTTTGTAAAATTTATTTTATATAAAAATAAGACTCAAAGAAGAAACTGATATTTAAATTTTTTTAATTCAAACTAATCAAGACTTTTAAACTAAGATTTTGTCAACAAAAATGAAGGGAAAATAATGATTCCTTAAAGGAGTATATTGAACATGCCACATACATGAGTGGTAGGGGTTTAAGTGTATGTTTTCTGGAAATCAATTTATACTACTTATCTCAATATTTAAAATGCTCATATCTTTTCACATAATATTTTGATTTCTGGCAACAAATTCATAAAAAGTATGCCCTAAATTCAGGTAAAATGTTATATTGGAAGATGTTCATTGCATCATCTTTTATAAAGAAAAAATAAAAGAACCAATTTACAGGGTGATAATTGCATAATTATAGTAGCTTCACATAATGGACTACATCACATTTTAATGTGATGACAGATTCTTGGGAAATAAATAAAAAAATAACTAACATAACATGAATCTAAAGATAAGCTTAATAGTAGTTTTGGTTAATTCAGCCCTTCAATGATACCGTAAGAAACTTTATTTCCATCTTTTTGTTGCTGTTACGTTGTTTTTGTTGTTGGGCTTGTTTTTATGCCCAGGCTCTCTATGGTCTCAAGGTGATTCTTTCATTTCAGAAATCATAGTGATTTACAAAGTCAGAAAAGGGGAATGGAACTTCCTTTGCATGCTTTTTTTATTAATCCATTCAGAAAAGCTTTCTCAGGAGTCCTTCAGATGGCATCTGTTAATGAATCCTTAATTGGAATTCTTCTCAAGTTCCTTGGTATCTGTGAATATTAAGTTTTTAAGCCTTGCAGATACCCAAATCCATTGATATTCATATCCCTCATATAAAATGTAAATTTGCATATAACCAACACACGTAACTACCAAATACATTAAATCTTCTCTAGATTACTTACAATACCTAACAGAGTCCATGCAATATAAATAACTGTTATACTGTATTGTTTAAGGAATAATAATGAATAGAAAATCTATGCAGTGTCAGTAAAGTTCCAGTTTTTTAAAGAATATTTTTGATCTGGCATTAGTTGAATCCATGCATATAGAACACGCAAATTGGAAGGGCTAACTATATTAGAAAGCAAACGGAATCATAATTGACATTGACTAACCTTGATTTAGTTTGTAAGTCCAGTGAGAGAAGCGCCTCCCCTGAGTTATGTAACTCTCCCCTTTTTGGACAAAGTCATGATTTCATTTATCCAAAAAGACAGGCAGTATTGCCTATCGGATGGGGACAGCCAAGCAGATCTGCCATACTGGAGAGCCAAGTCTTGCTGAAAATCAGGCCTGTCCTCCATGCAGACTGCAGGCTGCATGTGGCCCTGGATTGATAGTAATGAGGCTCCAAAACATAGTACATTTTTAACACTATAGTATGAATTTTAGCGATTTTTCATGTCTCATGTGGTGCTCAAACACAGGCAAAGTGGGCAACACCAAGGGAATGCTGTGTAGGGGAGAGCACAGGGCAGCGTTGACTCTGTGTCTTGCACTCATCACACACGGTCAGTCCAGTTGAAGGCTGTGTGTATTAGACAGTGTGTGTACTTGTGTGAACTGGTGAGGAAGATATGGCAATTGTCAATAACAGCATTTCAAGCTACCACAGATGACTGTGCCTTTGAAGACGGGAATTGATTGTGCTAGGCAGACATGCAAGTTTTCTTCTTAAAATTAGGCTTGTTATATCATTTATTTCATAAAATAAAACTTGATAACTTGAAAATGTTTAAAACAAGCATTTTGTTACCTATATGCATTAACTTTTATATTTTATTTATGGCCCAAGACTATTGCTCTTCACTCAGTACAGCCCAGGCAAGCCAAAAGTTGGACAGCATACTATAAGATAAAGATGGTGGCTCTGCTCATCCCAGCCCTGCTACTCAGGCAGCTGTTTTGGTTATGGTCCATACTCAGGGTGCTCAGACTGTGGTGTGATATTACTTCATGCTATACAAGTAGTCCTTCCTCCTTGATCCTTTTGTAGACTACCTATTGTTTGTTACGTGGTTCATTCTTCTTTCTAGGTGTTCTAAAATCCTTCCTTTTATGATTCCTATTCTTAAACTTTCTTTAAGCAATCTTTCATAACAAAAAAATTATTAGTTTTACTTTTCCCAAGAATATCTCATTCCTTCCTTGAGGATATTTTTGCTAGATACAGAATTATAGATTGCTTGTTCTTTTCTTTTAACGTTGTCCCACATTCCTCTTGAGGCCTTTGGTGTTTGATGAAAAATCCATCACTCTAATTATTTTTGCAAATTCCTTTTTTTTTTTTTTTTTTGTACCAGGGATTGAACTCTTAAGCTTGCCAGGCAGGTGCTTGTGCCACTGAGTTAAATCTCTGACCCTTCGTCTGATTATTTTCTTCATAAAAATAAAGTTCTTTCTGACTGCTTTAAAGATTTTTTTCTTTTATTTTCAGGAGTCTTACTATTAGTAGTCTTGATTCATATTAGTTAAAGCTTGTTTTATTTGGGTTTTTTCTTAGTCTCATCTTGCTATCAAATCTCTATCTTTTATTCTGAATCGTTCTTTCCCACTACTACCAAGGAATGGAAGTGGAGTAGGAAAATAGGATATCTTCATCAAAGAGAAATTGCATCTTAGTTTTAAGCAAAAATGGGAGGACAGAGAATTCTTCTTGTATTGATTGGTTTTTCAACTACCTATAGTTCAAAATAGTCCTTATGCTAAAGTATCATATTTTAGGATAACATATTTGATCCTCTGCAGTTATATGAAGTACTTCAGTGTTGGTCAAATGCTCAGGCATGCTACTTTCCTACTGGCATTGATGGAGGAAAAACATAACTCCCAACCTGTTAGATGTCAAACATGCCAAGTCCTACAACGTTGAGGAATAAAGTTGTGAATCAAAGGAAGAAATTACTGGAAATCGGGAAAGAAGAACAGCTCCTGGATTTCCAGGAGTTGTCCAGCGTGGGTGGCCAGAGCTCTTATAGTCAGGGGTAATTTATATAGCAAAACAACATGGGTCAAACAAAAATCAACCTATAGGATTATAAGTAGCCACTTAGCTAATATTGATCTAATAGAGAAATGAGTCACATATCAAGGTTATATGGAAAGACAAAGACAATTTTTAGATGAAATGGGTCCAGATACTCTGGTTACCCACCTGGACAGCTGATCCCTCACTGGACTTCTGGGACTAGGTGATGCTAGTCTCAGAGTAATTTCAGGTTCCTACATATCCCTTAGGCAGGCATGCAGGCCTGGCCATTGCGTCTTGATCTTGAAGCCTGGTCTTCTTCAGGTGGCCTACACACAGTTTTGTTATGTTCTCCTCTTCTGCAGGACTCCCTTGAGGGCCCATCCCTGATTGCAGTAGTACCAACTTATTATATCTAAATTTTATAGTTCCCAGATTTGTGTGTTCCTTATTAAATTAAGGACATGGTAAGAATCATATAGTTTGTTTTCTTCCCCAGCATTTTTTAATACAACAAAATAGTTGATAAAGAACATATAAAGAAGGCAGTTCACATGAAAACAAAGTAAGAGTTACAACCACAGTACATTATGTCTATAGCAGTGATATTTGCCTCTCAAATCAAAATGAAGAGATTTTTGAAGGTGACAGATTTATATACAAGCTGTAGTAATTTGCAATATGTTTTGTATCAAACAACTGAATCTCTGCTTCCAGAATAAAGAATTCAGACCTTTGGAATTATTCTAAATATTTAAAGTGTTATGATGTAAATTATTAGTGATCCTAATGAAAATGTCAGTGAGACCAGTGAACTAGCTGAATAGAATGCAATAAAGTACTCAACTTTAGGGACAATTGAAAGTAGTGGCTGAAAGAACTGTTCAGATTTTTCAGTGGTTAAAAAGAGAATATAACCTATATAAATATGTAATTTCTTAAAATTATGTAATTGTTTTGGTGCAAATCAGGAAACATGTATTGCTTTAGAAAAATGTATATTTTAAATATTGTTACGCAAGTGTGATCTTAAAGATATCAATGAAATATATGGGAAAATTGGAAGCAGCTTAGCCAATTAGTTCCAAGGTAAATAGCCATGTGAATTCCTGAAGAAGGAATGTTCCTTGTGTTCCTCCTTTTGATGCTGGTTTTGGCAGTGTAGTACTTATACATACTTCCTGTGGAATGTCAGCTATTTAGAGTCTAATGGGAAGTTCTATTTTTATAGGTGCTTTGAGTAGTTTTGTAATGGAATACTTTTCACTTTCTAAAAATCAAAACAAAGGAGGACAGGGGTTCTATGAAAAACAGTTTCTTCTTGCTATTTTAAACTTATATATTTTTATATGGGCATCTCCTCACTATTTCCAACCACAAAGCATTAGGAATCTCTTTTGCAAATAGATTTCTGAATCTATGGGAAAGACCTTTGTGAGCGCAAATGCATCTTCACAGTAAAGAGCCCCCTGACTTGGACTCATTCTTCCTCAGGGTTTATGGCTAGCAGAGCTTTTAGGCACATGTCAGCAGCTCAGCAAGGTAAGATGGGCTAAGCTTATGGAAGTATGGATTTATTTAAAACCTAAAGGAAAACAGTAAACTGAAGACATTGACCTAGACTACAGGGCCCAAGGGAAAGAAACTTTGGCCTTTAGCAGATAAGACAGATCTTGT